GAATCGAACCCAGGGCCTCATGCATGCAAGGCAAGCGATCTACCACTGAGCCACCTTCCCAGCCCTATACCCATTGTCTTATATATAAGTATATCTGATTGGGGGAAAAAAAGGGGAAAGACAGAAATGAGACAAAATTTTAACCAATTCAGCAGTGAAACCCACTGGACACTACGTTGGAAATGAACTATACAATTTTGGGGGGAGGGAAGTTGAGAGAGGAAAAACTGGGAGAGAATGAAGGAGGGGGTGACACTAGTCAAAAAGAAACATGCTCATTACCTGACCTTTGTAACTGTAACCCTCTGTATATCACCTTTACAGTAAACTTTAAAAAAATCTAAAAAAGTGTTAAAGCCCAAACCACGGTAGTGAATGTGTCTATTTTTTATAGTCTTGCAGTTTGCCTTTGCATTTTGACCTTTTATTGCTAGGTACATACAAATTAAGAATTGCTTATCTCCTCCTAGAGACTTGAACCTACATATGACATAACGTCATTTTTCTTCATGGCTGAATAATACTCAATAATGTGTTTCATTTTCTTTATCCATTCCTCAACTTGATAGGATCTTATTTGGGCTGATTCCATAGTTTGGCTATTGTGCATACCTGTGATAAACATGGATATCAATTACATGCTAACTTACCTTCTTTTGAATACATGTGGGGTCTTCTTTTTTATCCTTTGTGTTTTATTGGGGTATCCAGTAATAAAGTATTATCAATATAATTGGATTCGTATCTCCATTATAACTTCTTTCCTTTCACTACATTTGCTCTTACTTTTCCTTACCCATAAGCTGCAATGGTCAATTCCACTGTTGTCATCTTGAAAAGACTGTTATAGGTTAAGAATAATGAAAGTATGGTTCTGATGGCCCATGCCTGTAATCCTAGCTACTCAGAAAGCTGAGATCTGAGGATTGCAGCTCAAAGCCAGCTGAGCAGGAAAGTCTGTAGTATACTCATCTCTAATTAATCACCAAAAAACTAGAAGTGACTCTGCGATTCAAGGTGGTAGAGCACTAGTGTTGAGCGAAAGAGCTCAGGGACAGTACCTAGGCCCTGAGAACAAGCCCCATGACTGACAAAAAAAAAATAGGGAAAGCAAAAGCTCTTTTGTAACTTCATTTGTTCATTCATGGCACTGTTTATTTTTTATGTAGAATTAAATCATTCCTTTACCCTAAAAACTTTAACAAATCTTTCAAGACAGTACACATTTTTATGACTTTTCAAAAAATTATTGTAAATTATAAAAATATTATAAATATTTAATAATATTATAAAAGTATTATTATGAATTATATTAGTATATTATTACAAATATTATAAAATTGTATTATTCAAAATTATTATTTTATTATATAAATTATTATAAATATAAATTATAAAATGTATTGACATTATAAATTATTATTATAAATTATATATAAAGGTGATGTACAGATAGGTTCCAGTTACATAAGTTGGGTAATGAGTCCATGTCTTTTTGGACAGTGTCACCTCTTCTTTTGCTCTCTCCCAGTCTATCCCTCCCATCCCCACCCACAAGTTGTCTAGTGAGTACCACTGCTGCATTTGTTCACCCTTTGTTCCTCCATTTCTATTCTTCCTCTTACCCTCCCAAAGACCAGTCATTGAACAAACAAGGCAAAAAGAAGAGAAAATGAAAACAACAAAGCAAAAACTTCTTGCTTCCATTTCCTAGAGTTCATTTTGATGAATATTACTTTATATGATCAGAAGCACACAGGTATTGTGCCATAGTATTCCTCCCCTAAGAGTATCCTTCTTTGGTCTCACTATGTATGAGCATTTACAGTCCTGAATAATTTATCATGTCCCAGGGTACTTTAGATCTAGCTGAGAGAAAACATGTGCCATTTTTCTCTCTGAGCTTGGCTTAAGTGTATATTTTTTGAGAACTAAATGAAATATTTTATACATTTAGAAAAAACGAAATGAAGCTATTTGTAGCCCTATGTTTTAGTGTTCCAAGGTGCCAACACAAAAATAAAATCACCTACCTTGTAAGTGATAAAAGCAGATATTTAAGGACAGAGACAGTAATGTACTAGAGAGGTAGACCTCTAGTTATGGAGGCTCCTCCGGCCCAGGGGGCCACTTGTTCTTGAACTCCTTAGTTCTTATGTGCTTACAAATTATCAGCCCAGAAAAGAGGTCCTTCTCTCTTATACTTGACTAATGAAAAAACAATCATCCAAATTGCCTCCACTAATTTTCCAATTAGAAAATTACACCTTTCTATATTCACTGTTGATTTAGCAACTCTGCGGTGAGGTTACCTGCTAAACACAATGAAGGCATTCATCCCTACCCTCAGGTAAATGTCACTTCTCTGGTTGTTGCTTCTAAACACTTCAGCATTCACGTGAATCACCCTGTTGTACACTCTCTCCTCTGCCCTCTATATGGTAGTCAGTCAGCAAACATTTATTCTGCACATAATGAAGACCCCTAGAAAGTCATGGTAAAAAAAACAACAAGATTGTATTGAATCTATCTGGGTGCCAGTGGCTTATAACTGTAAAACCAGCTATTAGGAGGCTGAAATCTAAGGATCACAATTTGAATCCTGCCCAGGCAGGATTAACCATCAAAACCCAAACAAACAAAGCATACTAGAACTGAAGCTGTGGCTCAAGTGGTAGTGTACTAACCCTAAACAAACCCTGAGTTTAAGCTCAAGCACTGAAAAAGAAAACAAAAAGAATTCATTGAAAATACCTTAAAGATAGATGATTATGTCATTATGTTTGCATTTCTCTCAGCTGCTTGTAGATAATACTCCTGGCTACAAAACACTATGTGTTTAAGAAAGTTTTAATAAGTGTCTGTGGAAAATATATAGTCATATCTATCGATATGTGTGTATGTATACACATGGACTATGGAGCATTTTACAGACAAAAAGAAGAATGAAATTATAACATTTGCAGGAAAATGGAGGTCATCATGTTAAGTAAAATAAAACAAGCTCAAATATCATGTGATGATGATGATGATGATGATGATGATGATGATGATGAACCATGAGTCCAAAAGAGGAACAGTGTAGGGGAGGGTACTAATAAGAGAGGGGGAGAGGAAAAGGCAAAGGTACTGAGGGGTGGAGAAAATCTGAACTCTACATATAAATGTATATATCCGTATATGCATTTTGTTTTCAGAATACATAAACCCATTATATATAAACCTACTGTTTGAACAGGAGAGAAAGGAGAGGGGAAGGAAGAGCACATAATAGATTTCACCTACTTAAAGCATACTGGAATTATCACAATGAAATGCCTTTGTATTAGTAACATATGTTCATTTTTAAACTTTTTTTAAAATAACAAGAAATTTTCAACATATCTACAGATCATTTGTGAAGATTTCTGAAACTTACTAGCTAATTTTCTTTCTAAAGCAAACTAGGACCTTGGAAATGTAGTCAAATGTTCTACTGATTTAACATAACCCAAATAATAACAACTGAAGTTATTAAGATTTGTAAGCTTTCATCTTTTTCCATCCTAGGATTTCCAGACTGTATTACCCTCATTTGATCTCTTCTCAAAGTATGGGAAATTGTACTCAAAAGCTGGACAAATTATATAAAGGTAAGGAGTGCTTCAAGAAGTGTATTAAGTAAATAATGGAGGAAATTGACTTCACTGTCAAGGACTTTCAAAACCATCCTATATGCATGAACATCAGAGGGAGGGTGGGGGAAGGGGACAGAGTCTGTGGAAAACAGGTGAGAAGGTGCAGCAGTGGAGCCCACTGGCTGCACCGGACATGGGTGAAGGTGAACCGTGCAACTCAGGGTGGAGAGGGGAGGAAGGGAATGGGGGAGAGGAGGAGGGAACAGATGACATTATGCAAAGGAAGGAAATGTACTTACTACCTGATGTATGTAAAGATAATCCTGCTGCATATCATCTCTAAAACAATAAAGTAATTTTTTAAAAGACTTTAAATTCCTTTCCTTCTAATCTCATAATTTTGAACATTTGAAAATAATAGAGTTTATGTTTTTAAATCTCTTCTCCAAACTGGCTGAAAATAATACATTAGACAAAAGTGCCTTTAAATTAATTAAATAATATTATAATAATGCTTATACAGTATAGTAAAAAATACTGATAGTATCAAAAGGCAGGATACTGTATTAATATGGTGTCATTTTAGATACTCAATATATGCTTCATTTGAAGTACAAATGTCTTAAGAGTTATCAAGTCAGTTCATTATGTCTAATTATAGAAATTTATAAGATAGAGAACAAAGAATACAACTAAAATTCAAGAAGAAACTGAGCTCTCAATAACTGCTAAGTTATTTTGCAGTACAGAAATGAGACAAATAGAAGATATTATAGCTTTTTTAGTTAGTCATGGAGCTTGAACTCTGGGCCTGGGCGCTGTCCTTGAGCTCTTTAGCTCAAGGTGAGCACTCTACAACTTGAGTCACAGTGCCATTTCCAGTTTTTTTTTTTTTTGGTGATTAATTGGAGATAAGAATCTCACAGATTTTCCTGCCCAGGCTGGCTTTGAACTATGATCCTCAGATCTCAGCCTCCTGAGTAGCTAGAATTACAGGCATGGGCCACTAGCACCTGGCTTATTATGACATTTATTAAACAGATTTAAAGGTGATGTTAGATAATGCCAGCCAAGTTCACTACAGTTGAAGAGAAAAGATAGGAATGTGAAATTATGCTAGTTAAATAAAATTATGAAGAGAGCACTGGTTCATTGGAGAGAGCTTGGGGTAGATTTAAGGAACTTAAAAAAATATCCTCCCAGGCCTGGAAGGTGGCTCAGTGGTAGAGTGCTTGCCTTGCATGCATGAGGCCCTGGGTTCGATTCCTCAGCACCACATAAACAGAGCTGGAAATGGTGCTGTGGCTTAAGTGGTAGAGTGCTACCCTTGAGCTGAAGAGCTGAGGGACAGCGCCCAGGCCCAGAGTTCAAACCCCATGACAAATCAAAAAAAAAAAAAAAATCCTCCCTAGACTGAGTGTTAGTGTCTTCTACTATGCATATAACTCACCTGGAAGTTAATATGCTAGATGCAAATCCCAGTATCTTCCTTTTAACTGATTCCAAGGAGCACATGAAAGAAAATATAAAATATTCTGAGAAAACAGGGAAATATATATATATATATATTATTAGTGAAACTGCGGTTTCAGAGGTTTCTAAAGTGTCATTACCCGTGGGAGCATGTCTGAACTTTGTGAGCCACAGTATGAAGTAAACAAAACAAAAATCTTGTTCATCTATATAAGCTAAAAAAAAAACCAAGCATTATAATTCTATACAAATGTTAAAACTCTAAACATGGAGAAAGGGCTGATAAGGATGATAAATGAGCATGAATTTTATGAAAGTAGTTTGTTTGCATGTATGAAACTAGACAATAAAACCTGTTGAAATTGTTTTAAGTAGGGGGAATGGGATAAAGGAGAGTAAGTAAGGGGTGAAGTTGATCTAGGTACATTGTATGTGTGTGTGGAAATGTCACAATCATACCCTTCTTGTATAACAAATGTATGCTAATGAAATATGTTAACATCAGCAAGGCACTAGGCTGTTCAGTGGCCTACTTAGGAGGCTGAAATCTGAAGGTCGTGGTTTGAAGCCAGTTCGGGCAGGAAAGTCCAAAAGACTCATTTCCAATTAAACACCAAAAAAGCCCAAAGTCAAGCTGTGGCTCAAGTGGCAGAGTACTAGATTTCAGCAAAATGCTTAATGACAAGCACCCAGACCCTAAGTTCAAGCCCCATAACCCACCCCCTATACACATGCTAACATTAATCTTTTACCTATTAAAACTTGAAAAAGTGCTTTAAATATATCCCTCAGTCTTATAATCCTAGATACTTAGGAGGCTAAGATATGTATATCATGTTTCAAAGCCAACCTGGGCAGGAAAGTCCATGAGACACTTATCTCCAATTAATTACCAAAAAAGCCAGAAGTGAAGCTATGACTCAAGTGGTAGAGTGCTAGCCTTGAGCTAAAAGCTAAATAACAGTGTCCAGACCCTGAGTTCAAGCCCCAGGACCTGTGCACACAAAACTTGAATCAGCCTGTTTGATTTCATCGAATATATAATATAATACAAATTTGTGTATGTTTATACATGCAGATGTCTGCATGTGTTGAAAACACACTTCCAAATGCTTATTTACATATTACATGTAATGTATAAGTATACATTTATGTATTACAGACAGGGAACAGTGGTTTTCTATAGCTGGTGGGATCTTTTGCATGAAATACCACTGTATTTCCATTTTTCATATTTTATGACCCAGCAATTGCCAAAAAACATCTTGACTTTATTCTATTTACTTAAAGTAATTTTTAAAAGTTTATCTTTTCTCTAAGAACAAAGTAATTGCTACAGTATCTGTGTTCAAAGACAAGGATGGGGTAACAAACATTTCATCAGATGTTAATTGAAAATAGTCACATAAAGGTAAATTTATGCAATAAGATATTCATAAAAATGTTTGTTAATCCTCTTATGGGTTTTAAAATATTTAATTGATGATATTATCAAAATGTTCTTCCTCTTAGATGGGAAAAGAATGTGTGGCATTTTGGTAAGGCGCCTGAGCCAAGGCTTTCCTATCAAGGTTTAATTTCACCAAAAACGACAGAGTGCTTCTGTTTTTTATGAAGAAGGCTATGTGCCCCCAAACTGTCGAATATAGATGCCACCGTAATTTTTAGAGCTCTTTAATTACTCAGGCTTCTCTTCTCTTGACTGTGATTCACCTGCCAGACCAGGTACAGCCACTACTGAACATCTCCAAGCCCATGCGAAAGACTGATGCCTTCATCGTATGGATCTTTCTTTCCTTCCGCATGTCTGAGTTTAAGATAAACAGAGCCTGCTCCTACCTATCATCATTAATGCACTACCATTTCAGCCCTTGAAATTGCTTGGAAGAGAAAATTCCATTTCATATATACATATTTTAAAAGCAGTACTCTCCATCAGAGATACCAAGACCTCTTTTAATTTCTTTAATTTGTCTTTATAACTGGTCACTTTTTGTAACCTTTGATAGTTTCCCAAAAGCAATTTCATCTAAATCAGGATATGCGTTGTTCTGTCAGAGTGCTCTGCTATCCTCCGCTCCATTCATCTTTCCAGGCAGGCAGCCTCTTTAACCATTTAGCCATTGGTGGTGATTTTATGAATAGAATTCCTTATTCAACCCAGTTTGGCATCAGGGTGAATTTCTTGTATTATGTGTTTCTTAATGTTCTCAAATGCTTGGCAATAGGCTTTGGTCCAGACTTTGAGGCCAGATGAGATGGGTTTTCATTAAATTACTTGTGAGGGACACAAAATAATGAATACTTTTCCTCTTCTATAGGAATCTGGCATGGGAATGCCTGCAATAGCTGATAAACAATAAAAGTAAAAATGAAAATGGAAGATAAGTATGGTTACAACCCAGACTGAAAAGGTGGTAAAATTCTGTTTTCTCTTTATAGAGAAAACAATATCTCAGCAGCTACACAAAGACAAGTTATATTAGGGACAAGCAGTGTCATTTAAGGAGTGCTTGTGCCTGCTGAAAGTTAAATTTTTAATCCAGTAAGAGAAATTCTTAAACCTATTCATTCTGCTTGGTGTTTGAATTTATAACCTTTGTAGTTACAGCTAATTGGCAAAGGAAAATATACTTCTGTATCTTTCTCTGGGGTGAATTGTCCTTTGACTTAAGATGCTCTGATTTTCCATGGCTGGGTCTGATTTGCTGAATACTTCATGTACCTCATGTCACACACGGTCACAATTATTAATCTACAGCTACAGACAGAGCAGAGAACAGGCTAAATCAGCAGGATTTAAATGAGTCAAGGGTTGGAGCTTTCCAGATATTAACTGAGCTTAAGCTCAGGGAAGGAGACTTAATAGGAATGGGAGAACTCATAGTAATAGGTTCTTTTTCCTCTCTTGTTATATGGTTTTGTTTTTTAGAAAACAAAAGAAGACAAGATAGAGAGATGAAGTTAAGCTGTGAAGCGAAGGTGAACTAGAAGAACCCCTTGCCTGGAGTCCTGAATTCTGTTTCCATGGATGAAGAGTAACCTTTACCCAAACGTGCTAAACCTCTGCTCCTTTCTCTTTCTGTTATCTGTCAGAAGAAATTCAAAACCATTTTTGGTTTCTAATCTAAAACTTTAGATCGGAAGGAAAATATAAATAAGGTTTTTATATAGAAAATACATTTAAACCACACTTACTATGAGTTGATAAACGAATATTTGTAGCCCTGATCATAATATTTTGAAAAAGGGTGGTGTGTGTGTATGTGTGTGTGTGTATGTGTTTTAATTCTCCAAGTTTATCTTGGAAAACAAATGTTTAAATTTGCTCTTATGAATGTCTGATAACAACTTCTGTCTCTGGTGAGCAAAAATGGCATACATAGTTTCACTGATGTGCCATAATCTAACTCCATCATTCTGGTCACAAGTGGTGGGGCTAATGTTGGATATCCAGATCCAAAGGCAGGTCAGCTAACATCTAAGTGGGAATGACGAATGATTTAAAATATGGATGGAAAGAAGCAATTGGTATAAAAAAAAAACCCTTACCTGAGGGAAATAATGACTCACTAGACCAGGTAGCTCCCCCTCAGATCAGACATACATACACTCAGCCATGGACTTGTGAGTGTGGGAACAGAAACACAGGTGCTCTCAAATGAAGAAGACCTCTCTAGGTCTCTGCTTGGAAGGGAATGACAAGGGAATGTTGGTACTAAGGCTATCACATCCTCTAGACAGTGACTTATGGTTAGTTTCCAGAAAGCCAGGCTTTTGTAAGGTTGTTGTTGTTGTTTTAAAGAGAGGCTACAACTGAGGTTCCTTTATCGTTTAGACCCAACTCATGTATATGTTTAACAATAGAGGTAGCCTGAGGTTGTTTCTGTTTGTTGAATCTGAAAAGAGCAACACAAATCTTACTGCATGTAATTTTTGGTTTGGAACCAATGAGAACTTACAAGGACAGGAAATCTGACTTGTTAATCACAAAACCTTTATTTAAAATTGCTGTTTAATAAAAACCCACAGTCTGGGAAATGTTACAGGGTAAATAACCTGTTTCTTCAACAATTAAACTGCAAAATGATAAAAGAAAAAGGAACCAATTAAAAGGACGCATGAACTAATCACAATGTGTGCACAGTTTGGGGCTTTTGCTGTAAGAAATTGTAACTTGTTAATTTGTATTTCCTTTTTTCGCTGGCTCCCATTTGTGAGCTGTCTCTCACAGTCACAAGCATCCCATTGTTGTACTAATCTTATCTTCTATTTTACTTTTTTTCCAAGTTTTTTTTTCAGTGTAGCTCACCGTTTAATTTTATCTTCTTTTTACATTATAAGCTGGCTGAAAACCTCCTTGGAAAAAGATTCAATACTAATAAATTCACCAAATTTTATGCAGAACTGACTTAAGAAGTGGAGCTATTTGCAAGGTGGCCACGCACTGCATCAGTACTACTCGGTTAGTTCAGTTTGCAGATTGTAATGAACCACTGTACAAAACATTCAGATACGTTTCTATTGGAAAGCAAGTGAATGAATGAATGAATGACCCAGTGAGGATTGTTGTTTGAGTTGGTCTATTTTCCAACAATTAAATTTCTGTCTTTATGTTGATTTAAAAACCACAGCTAAGCTGGACACCAATGTCTCATGACTGGGAGGCAGAGATCTGAGGATCATGGCTAGAAGCCAGTCCAGGCAGGAAGGCCTGTAATACTCTTACCTCCAGTTGACCACCAAAAAACCTGGAAGTGTAGCTGTGAGTTAGGTAGTAAAGCACCAGCCTCGAGCAGAAAAGCTAAGGGACAGTAGCCAGGTGATGAGTTCAACCCCAGGATTGGTATACAGAGAGAGAGAGAGACAGAGGGAGAGACAGAGACAGAAACAGAGAGAGATCTTTTGTGTTACTGCTCCAACTACTCTTCACTGCCAATGAGAGATTCAAAATGAGAAAAAGAGCATGATTTTTCTGGTCCAGCAATGATTATTTGATGAGGCTTACAGTGGCAATAATACAATGCATGTCTGATAGTTACTCTTATTTTTTGATTCAGATGATTTTCTATGAGAATGGAGTGGAATCCAGCTTAATCTGGGGCTAGTACTTTGCTTGGACCTTTGAGGCTCAGTGTCCTCTTGGACTCCTTCATAGGGCCAAGCCCTCTTCCTCTTCTAGACACTTAATGAAGAGAGGGCCTGGCTGCTGGTGCTGGCAGAAAGTCACTTCTGTTGGTAGAGAACTTTATTAAGTGGAGTTTACTTTCCTCTTCTCTTCATGATCATGGGTTGTCAGCACACTGTGGCTTTAAGCCATCCATGTCACAAAGCAATAGGTATGTGCCTTAAAGAATCATTATATTAAGAAATAATGGAACTGTATATATGGTTGGGATAAATCACTGACACAAGTGGAGGAAAATCATATAGTATGTGTTAAATGTTAAGTGGAAAAATTAATTGGCCACCTTATAGGTAGAACTGTGAGACCATACAAATCACAAGTGTAGCTTCAGCTAATGATTATTTACTAGGCCCGAATTATTATTTTTTTTCTGAAACTTTTTTATTGTGAAAATACTGTACAGAGGGGTTACCATTACATGGGCAAGATAATGAGTACATTTCCTTTTTTTGCGGGGGGGATGTCCGGTCGTGGGCCTGAACTCTGGGCCTGGGCTTTGTACCTCAGCTCTTCAGCTCAAGGCTAGCACTCTACCACTTGAGCCACAGCGCCACTTCTGGCTTTTTTTTTCTTTTTGCTTATGTGGTGCTGAGGAATCAAACCCAGGGCCTCAGGCATGCAAGGCAAGCGCTCTACCACTGAGCCACCTCCCCAGCCATTGAGTACATTTCTTATCAAGCATTGTAGCCTCCTCCTTTGTTTCCCCTTCTCATCCCTTCCCAGCCTCCCATGTCCCCCCACCCAATCCTCCCCTCCCCCACACCAAACTCATAAAGTTCGTTTTCGACATAACAACTTGTACTTCTCATTGTTGCAACGGGTCCACTTGTATCTTTGTTTAAACAACTTGTTTGTCCCCTTCCCCTTCACAAATTATACCGACATCAAATACAGTGAAAGCAGGGGTTATACTGTGGGGGAGGGTAATACAAAGTAACAAAGAAATAATCTTATAAATGCTTTAGAAACAAATGCATGAAAGAAAAAAAACATTTAAATATATATCTTAGGGTTCATTTTCCTAACATCACCTTATCTGACCTTTTCTGCTTGACTCAGACATATACTAGATATTGCAAATAAGGGAAACCATGGGACCTATGTTTCTTTGGGCTTGGCTTACTTCACTTAATATAACTTTTTCCAAGCCTTTCCATTTCCTAACAAATGGGGCAATGTCATTCTTTCTGATGGAGGCATAGAATTCCATTGTGTATATATACCACATTTTCTTGATCTATTCATCTACTGAGGGGCTTCTGGGTTAGTTCCATATCTTAGCTATAGTAAATAATGCTGCAATAAATATAGTTGTGCTGGTAGTTTTAGTGTGGTCTTGTTTGTAAACATTTGGGTAAATTAGGCCCGAATTGTTGTACCTGTTTTCCAACTTGAAATTAGTCTCTGCTGTTTAATACATTTCAAGGCAGCTATATTTTTTTCTGAACCTCCTAATATAAATTATATTTTCTTCCCTCTCTTAATGTCAAAATAATGCTTTTATATAAAAGATGAAAGCTTATTAATATTGTCTGGAAGAAGAGAATATACCCAGATTATTTCATGATGTATAGAGCCCTGGCAGTTCATCCGTTCGCAAGGAAGAATTCAATGCAGAATCTTTCATCTGAGTACTACTGTATTAGAAGTAATGTGAGTAAAGTAACTTTTTAAATAAATAGAAGATGATACCATTCAGAGTCTGTGATTTTGAAGAGTCATTGAAACTGAAACAAAAATACTTGTTTTCTTTGTAAAAGTTTCCTGTCTTCCTAATAGGGCTGGGGTAGGAATGGAAAAAGCCAAAGAACATTTCTTCCAAATAGACAAATGCTAAGTCCTCTTAGAAGTAAGGATGTTGACTGGATTGACTGACTGAGGAATAAAGTTTTGGTTTCCAGGATGTGTTCTTCTTATGCTAAATGATCACATCTTTAGAAGACTCCAGAAAAGAAGAAAGCCAATAAGAGGCTACTTGCTACTGGATGGTTCAAGAAATCTCAGTGTAAGCATCAGATGATGGGCAAGTGTGATACTCAAACCTCCAAAGTAATGAGTGGACTTCTTTTCCTCTTCTGCTTCCTATATTTAGAACAATCTTCCTGCCAAACACAGGCACAATAAATAAATAAACCAGATCAATGCAAGACACCCTGTTTGAATACATCAGAAAATACAATGGTGAGGTTACACTTCGAGGGTTCTAGACATTCCACAGAAGAAATAAATGCCAAGCCTGCTCTTTTGCTTTTCTCATTGAGGCAATTTCTTGTTTCTCAAATGCTATGGAATTAAGAATCCAAAATCCAAGAAAAAAATAGCAGCTAAGATAAGGAAACCAGCCTTGTGAGGTAGTGTGGTTGCTGAGCAGATATATACTTCAAGTCAGATTTATGCAGGAAGGAGAATCATGAAATAGAACACAACAACAAAAACAACTGCTACTGCTCTCACTGACAAATTTTATAACAGGAAAATGATGTTAGGTAAAACCACCAGACAAAGAACATTTATATGAGTGAATTATTATGGTTATTGAAATTTAAAAAAAAAACCTGACAATTTGGAATGAGATGGTATGGGAGACAAAATAGTTTTCCCCCTGTTTCTCCCCACACACACACTCCCTCCCCCTTTTCCTCTCCCTCTTTCTCTCCCTTCCTCCTCTTCCTTCCTTTCTCCCTCCATATCTGTGCTGTTTTCCTTGATCTACATTAAATATGCATTTATGGTAGGAAATAAATGAGCTGCATTTTTCCTCATTTGTGCTCCTTCTCTTAATCATGTTTTACTTTATCAGATTTGGGAGAGGAGGATATTAGAGGGGTTAAAGCAAAAAAGAACCAAAGAAACCTTGTAACCTGGTCTCTTTGAAGATGGCACATACTCCACAACCCCAGCTGGT